GTGAAGATTGCTTGCTATCCACACCAATTATATCTTTACAAACTCTTTATAAATAATTCCTTTTCTTCTTTACCGATTATTTAACTAACTTTTTCTAATTTTTGTTGTGGGAAATTTTCAAAACCTCATTTTCTAAGGTGGAGGTATAATGGAATGAGAGAAATGCCGGGTGTGATGTATCATCAACTAAGTACACGAGCGTTCAGTCAATGTGACCGTTTTTTGACAGCCACTGATGCCATACCACATGGTCATATGGAGGCGTGGCCGCAGTGATTAAACATGCCAGAAATATTCGATTTCATTTCAAACAGAACGTTGGCTAACGTGTATAGCGCTGTGGCACAACCTAAGTATTGTTCATTCCGACAAAGGAGAAAGTTCAATGAAAAATATTTTATTAATAGTGATAAAACATCATTGAAGAATACGAAACTATTTCAAGGTTATCTTTTTAAAAGTTAATAATTACGCTTACTGGTATTCAGTTAGAATTTTGGAGGTTAACTGAGAAAACACAAACTACCTTTTCTGTTTTGCTGGGAAACATACCTATCCAGATGAAAAACGCTTCCTGTCTGTCCAAACATACTCCGTCTCACAGTAGCACTTCACTATCTGAAATATGGTGGGTACTCTTGGTTGGAATAGACTTAATCTTTGAAAGATTGCGTTCAGAAATACTCCTCCACCACAAATTTATGTTGCTGTATGCTGATGTGCATCGTTAATTAACTTCAAAACAGTGCATGCAGACACAGCCTGTTTTGCTCTGAGCACGTGTATTGCTGACCACAGGAAGAGGGCGGATGAAAAGAAGGGGGTGGTGAGTGGTGGAACTGTCATAGAATTGCAGTGAAAGAAGCTGTCACAGAAGCAGTGTTGCATTTTTTTCACTCTTAGAGCTTCGAACAGAAGGGTTGTGTTATAAACTGATCACTTCTATATCTGTATGTGTGTGTAAACACATGGTATATTTGTTTGAGGACAGGACATATGATATTGAGATAAACATTTTTTCATCGAAGTATACTTTACTTGCATGTAGATAATATACATGTAAATGCTTTCTCCATACTCTGACTGATTTTTCCTTTTACGAACTGGGTTTTTTATTTCTTTAACATCTAATATTTTATACTCTGAAATATTATTTTGTTTCTTTCTTTAAACAATACACTAGCCATTTGTTGAAGTGTGTGTGCCATGGGAAAATTTGCTCAGGGGCTGACAGAACTGTCTGGACAGAGTTGTGGTGATGAAATTTACATTTAGAATGTTTGTTTAATTAATTATGTGGATATAGGGATTCTGTCTTCCAGTATGAAATAAAAAGAAATATCTATCCTTGAAAGTAACAAGCTTTACAATTTAGCTTTTCTTTGGCTTTAAACAGAAATCATACACACACCAGTTCTAAAACAATAGCAGGATACAAACAATAACAACACATAAAGTACCTTTGCCTATCAACATTTCCCATTCGTACCATTAACACATACTCACACTCTCCTTTTGATTTCCCCATGTAAGCAAGGCCATCTACCCTTATTATACTAATTAAATTACTTACTACCTAAACAAAACTTGATCTTCCCACAAATATTTATATTATCAGTGTCTCTTTGTCACTTCCCTGGTCTGCTGATACTCTGCATTCTTGGACGTTGATTTTGGCTTCACTTCCCAAGTATTAACAATAGAGTCCAATGCATTATCGGTCATATCCATTTTCTGTCTTTCCATTACTATAACCACCAGCTTCTCCTGGCCACAAATTCTACTCATTCAATTGCCACTACAGCAAGCTAGCTTCTATCCATCCGATCACCATCACAACAAGATCGTTTCTGCCTCCTCCATTCATAAACTGCACCACTCACTTGTTTAGTTCCAAAAAGTGCAGCACTACACCCTCACACACACCATTTCATTTCTTTTTTGTGGTTTTGTGGAGATTTTCTCCCGCCTTTCACGCCTCTCCTTTTCTGTTTGGATACTCATCCCTTGGGGTCTGATGCTATTCGCTCTTTGACTTGCAATTCTACCATACTCTCATTATCATTAATCCTGTGGAAATTCCTTGTGTCCATATTAAGAAAACAATTATTAAAAAAATATTAATTTTTTTAATAATTGTTTCAAAAATTTAATTATTAAAATAATATCCACTATTTTTGTTCATCTGTTTATCCTATTCCACTTTCCTTGAACTCTCATTATTTATGTAATGGTCATATGTGTACTGCAGATTTCCATTGTCTATATTTTCATAATACGAAATTTTATTTATATCTATTTGGTCCTCTAATGAGTCATGAAAATATTCATTAAAATAATCACTTTTGGCAAGAATTCTTTAAAGCTAATTCCAAAATTTGCTGAAGTTCATTGTTATCTGTTATAATGCACTTGAGCACATCTAAACATTTTATAGGGCTAAAATGAAACTTCTGGAAGAGTTGTCTCCATTACTGAAGGTTGACATCCACTTCCCTAAACTTGTCTGTCTTGTGTCAGATGAATCAACTCAGATGCACTCAAAATACCGGTCCATTTGTGGATGTTTCTTATCCATCAGGACATTTTCCTGCCAACTCCCCATCTACCCTGCTTTCCCCATCATTACTAATTGCAGGAGTTCATATTTTGGGTTTCTTAGTTAACGACCGAAAGAGACTAAATCTGTGTAAATGAAAAGAGGAAGCAGGTAACTTTAATTACCTCTCCTTTAATGGCTGTTCTCTGATGTTTCACTGTTACTTCAGTAATTGTTAAATATGTGGTCTGGCATAGGCAGCTCAGGGCATCAATTGTCGTCAGTCCAATGTGTCTGACCAGTAGGTCCTAGGGTTAAACTTCAACGGTGGTGCAATTTTTGATACTAGCCAGATAGCTAGGTCGAATGCACCCACTCTCTGGAGGAGGGTTCTGGGGTCCAGCTGCTCTGATTGTTAGTTTTCCGTGGTTTCTCTGATCAACATGCAATGAATGCCGGAGCAGTACTCTAAAATATGGAGTACCTTCCTCTGCCTTGTCCTATCCCTATGTTATACAAACACACTTAAGTGCACTATCCTCCCATAAATATTGGGTGACTGGTTGGGGCGTAGTGCTTGTCCCTGCTGGTGGGAGATACCTGGCTGAGGGAAACCTGCGAGCCAACGTGTAGAGTGGTGCCTAATCTGGCCATCCGACCAGGGAAGATCACTGCTAGGTCTCGCAATAAAAGATGCACTACACTTATGGGACTAATGACATTACATGTTGACACACTCCGGAAACCTAATCAATTAAGTATTTGGTGAACTTACAAGATTCTTAATCACCATCACACACATCAATCATCAGCAATTAATTCAAGGATAAAAAATGTTAAACACATAATCAAAGGTGATGAAACTTAAAAATAGTCTCACATGAAAATAATGTTTAATTTGTTACTTAATTGTTGTTATTTAATTGTTGTATGAAGTGAAAAGGAATAAATCTATTTAGTTAATGAGCTATATTTTATTATAGGAATGTAGCATTTATTGCTGGTGCCTGTCTGGCTGTTCTGTTAATACTGACGGTGTATGATGAAGATGTCATTACAGTGGAACATGTTTTGACAGCTATTACGGTTCTTACAGTCATTGTTGCAGGAAGCAGGTTAGTATGGTGTTTGCATCAAGTACATTACAATCTTTTGGAATCTAAAAAAAAACCTTTTGCAATGAGGAACAATATTTGTGAAATAAAATTATAAGTTCTTTTTCGGAAATACATTTTCTTTTTCATTGTAGAGTGTTCATACCTGATGAGAATTTAGTATGGTGTCCTGAAAAACTTATGACAGCAGTTCTTGCTCATGTGCACTATTTACCTGATAGTTGGAGGGGACAAGCTCATACACATAAAGTTAGAGAAGAATTTTCTCAACTCTTTCAGTACAAAGCTGTAAGTATTATCTTCATTCTTTAGTAATAAATATTTTTATGAAGTTGTTATAACCTTTGCTCTTAAACATCATCTTAAAAATGGCCAAATAAATTTTATTTGGTGACAAGAAAATCATCAGATCTTCTAGTGTTAAGTTTTCAGGGTATGGAAATGAATGGCAAATGTTGACATCAGCATAAAAGCAAATGGTAACTATCAGCAAAATATCAATTACCTATATTCAGTTTATAATTAATGACAACCACAGATCTATTTACAATTTATATTTCCTTGATCCCGTGATTAATCTCAATAGCAATTGCCTTTCAAGTTCTGACTTCTCTACCGTTTTATTTAGGTAGCTCTCTAATTTTTTTATTTATTTTTATTTTTTATTTGTTTCTTCATGGTTTTCTAAATTTTCATCTGTTGGGGTGTAATAAAGGATGATAGATGAGATGATAAAGGATGCAATAATGTTAATGTTAGTAACTACTTGGCTGACCGGGAGATCCCTTGTCCTAGGCACAGGTGCCAATATTTCCTCAGGGCGAAATGTTCCTGAAGAAGGTCGCAGAATGGTGCCACGTGTTCCTAGGATTCCACGTGTGATGTGTAGAGTGTAATTTTACTCCCCATAAATCTTAAATATCAAATTTTATCTCACAATATTTGCCTCTGTGCTGCAAATCTGCTCTACTCGGCTTTTAATGCCATAAATTGTCTCCATTATTTAATTGGATAAAAGGATATTAAATAATGGAAGAGGCAATTTATGACATTACAAATACTGTATAGCAGATACGCAGCACAGAGGCAAATATTGTGAGACACAATTTAATACTTTAGATTTATGGGGAGTAAAATGTTACTTTGTATCAATCAAATGCATTACAAATCATCATGCCTGCAATTCAAACTGTATTCATGATGTTGTCCTAAATTATTTTGTGTAAAATAAAATATATTTTTCTTTCTCAGGAAAATCCTTAGTTGAAAGTTCAAAAATCAATTTACTAATATAAATAATAGAATAATTAAGCGGAAGTATAAGGAGGGGCTCACATTGCTCTGCAACTCCTTCACTGTATTTGTTCAGTTCTGAAGTAATTCCTTTTAGGATTTAAAACATGGAGTGTAGGAAGAATAAATTGATTAAGCACTGTCTAATATTTAAAATCTCTTTTCTTATGTACAAGTATCAATGGGACTTGCTGTTTATATATCAAAAGTATGTATGATACAAAGTTGTATTTCAAACAATTCTTCCCAATTGATTTTCCCAAAGCGTATGTGCATTGAAACATTTATTCTGTGAAATTTCTTCGAAAGTGTGAGCTTTGAAAGACTAATTTTATGCACTTGTTTTTTTAAGGTGTATCTCGTGGAAGAGCTAATGTCTCCTGTGATAACTCCATTCATCCTCTGGTTTCATGTGAGATCAAAAGCCTTAGATATTGTTGATTTCTATCGAAATTTCACCGTTGAAGTTGTGGGTGTTGGAGACGTATGTTCATTTGCGCAAATGGATGTGAGGAGGCATGGGAATCCCACGTGGCATGGGGGAGGTCTCGTGCCACCAGTGCCGATGGGTCCTCAAGCTGGAGACGCAGGAAAAGTTACCAAACCTATTCTATCGAATCATTATACTCAGGTACTTTCCACCTTTTCTCTCATTATATTATTATATTATTATTTCATAACCATTTATAATTTAATTTTTAAATATTTGTCACTCCTGCAACTTTTATGGTGGTAGTGTCTCTGTGATTGAGATATGCTGACCTGAGTAATTTCAGTGCTTCATTTCATAATGGTTGTTGATAAAGCGTCAGAAGTGACTGCAAATAACATTAGCTTACAAAGATCTTTCTGATTAGTAAATTCTTTTATTATAGCTGATTGATCTGTATCTTCTCCAGAGTAAACAGGTTGAAAAAGGGTGACTGTTATCTTCTTTATACTTTTTAGTTTTTATTTGAACATAGTTTGCAGAGGAATAAAATGTGTGAGATTTTTCAAAATTAATTTATGATGATCATATCAAAATTAATGTGTTGTACATATACATGTGTTCTGAGAAAGAGATATTCGATCTTCCAAAGATCTTATAATTACAAATCGCCCAATATCAAAAATTAACTTGGAAAAAATGGAAAATGCTGTAGTACTTAGTTTAATTAGTGTCTTTTTGAAGTGAAGAAAAAAGTAGCGCACATAAAGCACATGCAGATAAAGACTGATGAAAAACTGAGAGAATACAGAGTACAAAGATACATTGCTATAGAAATAAGAATGTGTAGCAAATATCTTGGGAAATATTTATTAGTGAATTAAAAAATAACATACATGATAAACAGCAACTAGCTTACAGTCTTAAGGCTTAACCAAATTTATAAAACATTAAATACATTCTAACAACAAAAATATATATTTATGAGAATGTCAATTTTAATTAATTCTTTCCTCTTTTAATTTTTAATTTTTTCTCTGAATATAGGCTGTAACTTATACAAAAGTAAATTGCAGTAAAAGTTGTTGATAAATGTAATTGGAAATTATATATATCTTGTATGTCTTTAGGCCGAAGATGGAAAAACAGAATTGTCTCTAGTTCATTTTACACTCACAAACCCTGATTGGCAGCCACCGTGTGAAGCAGAGAATTTTGTAACAGCATTGAGAAACCAGGCGAGAAGAGACGCTGGACAGTTAACTGCTGCGCTCAATCCCGCTGACAATGCCTTTTTGTCCTCCTTGCAGTCATTATATAGTCTTGGTGGTGGGGTAAGTGTCTGCCAAAAAATTTTTCATGGACATTTTTAAGATCTCAGGTTATGTATTGAATTTGAAGAGATTTTTTTTCTAAACCTTTATTTGAGAAAATTTTAAGGATAATGGCTTAAACAGAAGTAGTGAAAGACTGTATAAAGATACAAAAATGACAGTGGATAGAGGCAAAGAAAGGGGTAGAGGGAGAATGTGTGAGAGAGGTAGAGAGAGGCAGACGGTCAGTGAGAGGCAGGCGGGTGAGACGGACATGCAAGACTATGTGAGATGGACATGCTAGGCTGGGCGAGATGGACATGCAAGACTGGGTGAGACGGACAATCAGGCAGTCCTGATAGAAATAGACAGACGGGCAATGTTGGCAATAGAAGCAGATGGGTAGAGAAAGAGATTTGTAGACAGTCAGGATCTCAAGAGAGGCAGCTATGGGTGGGACATGTGTCAGTGAAAGTGAGTCAGAGGTGTAGTTGAGAGGGACAGAATGGAGGTGGAGTCAAAATGGGTGTCAAGATGGAGCGGAAAGGTGTGATGCAGATAGACAGAGTGTTAAAAAAAGAAATGAGGTAAATCGATTAGTATTAATTATCAATGACCTACTGTTGCCACTCAGTATTGCTGCCATTGCTGTGGTAAGCCAGTCTGCGGGAAACAGTTTTTTAAAATTTGCTTCATATTGTTTTGTGGATTAAGATGGAAAGGAAATGCCCTAAGGGAGTGCATGAATAACGAAGTACTTTCTTGTGTGTTTCAGTTGGGATTTATTTTTATTTTCAAAAACTGGTGAAACGAGCTGTCTTTTTAATGTCAGTGTGCAATGACAGCTTCGTTTGTTGGGATAAGAAAGATAGTATTCTTATGTAATTCCTTTGCCAAATTTATTTTACACCTCAAAACTTTATAAGTAAAGAAATATATATGGTGAATGGCCTAACACTTGCCTTCAGCTTTGTGGTTTTCTGCATAAGAAATAATTGTTGTAGATAAACAGCTTGGTAGCAAGCATTTTCCGTGGCAATGCTGCTGTGGGAGCTGGAACTGATTCTACACTGGGTTTGGGCTTCCAACCTGTGTATGCTCACACATCTGCATCATCTGGTCAACCTGGTGGTGATCGCACAGCAGCAAGTGCTGATTCATCAGCGTTCCCTGCTGTGCGGGGTGGACTTAGTCGGGCAGAAGGGCCTCTCATGGTAGATAGAGGACTCTTGTACAGGTTTGTTTACTTTGTTTTCAATTGTAATGAATTTAAATGTTCAAGAATAGTTAGTTTACGTGCTTCAATAAATTTCAGCATTCATCAAGGTATATCAAGCACCTCAATGGGGGCATCTGTGTTTGGAGCAGGCCTTGATTTGCCTCCTGAAACAGATCCTCTTGAATTGACAGCTGCTGATATGAGTTTGGGCACGCTCTACCTCCATGAATTACATCATCGACAGGTAATGTTTCTGTAAAACATGAGCAGGGGGGGGGGGGACAGACATAGTTTGTTTAGAAGTAGTAACAGTAATAAATAGTTACTTTGTTATGCAAATAATTGTTTTTATTAGAGTACATTTTGTACTGGGGATATGAAGATTATTCATCACTGCATTGGTTTCTGCTGGATGATGATTGGTCAGCATAATAGGTATCACTTCCATATCACTTTTGTTTCATGACCCAATTTCACTCTTTTTCTTGAATTCAGACAGCAGTTTTATTGCTGTCACCATTAAGAGAGCTCGCAATAATGTATGTGAGACATTGGATAAATATTACCTTCAGTACATTGAATGCATGTTTAAAAACAAATTATTAAATGATGTGCTTATAACCATTTCATTATCTCAGTAGTGTATGCAGTGAGTGATGCTTACCTTGAAGAAATTATATATTTTTTAAACAATCAGAATATTGTATATTTTTGAACATATTTGCTATCTGGTTTCTAATTTTGAAGGTAGTTCTACCGTAATTATTTGTCAAATTAATATGATTTGTATTTTCAAAGATTGAAAAACAGATTTTAATGTTGGAATTTGTTTTTCATATTAAAACTTTTAAATTGTTATATTTTTCTTTTGGGACACCTTCACTGAATATGCATTGATTATTTGGTCTTTGTATGAGTCATTCCATGTCAAATTACACATTCTCAAAACAAATATTTTTTAGCTCACCTTTTTTTTTTATAAGGTTGAAAGTTGAAAGTAGGTGAAACTTTGTTTCTTCTAATCCCACCCCTTTCAGAAATATTTACAATTATTTTACACTATTATATTTATGTATAATTATATTAAATATTTAAAATAATAATAATATTAATAATAATTAATATTTAATTTTGCAAGTATTCACATTAGGCTGACACTTAAATTAATTTAAAAAAATACTCATGTGTTTCTACACAAATGTATATATCAAATTTCAAAGTGGGGCACAAGTAAATAACTTTAAAAAAACAACAACGGGTACCTAGGCAGCCCGCTGCCCTCAGTACTGTTTGAACTAAGGAGTGCCAGTGACACAACTCATGGTGGCGTCCAAACATGAAGCAACTAGGTGTCATGTTAAAAATTACAGAAATACACATGCAGTCTCAAATGGAATTCTTCTGATGAAATGGGACTATTAGGTTTCTTTAGTATAAACTACTGACCCTGCTAGGATCTGCCTGAAACAGAGCAGTCTTCTTTCTCAGATATACTGAGTCAGTTGTGTAAACAGAGGAATCCAAGAAACGTGTGTGGTATTCTGTGAAGTTAGTAACCACAGATAACCTTACAATAATATCAGTACTATTATTTGCATTTTCTTAATAAGAAAATCAATAAATGAAGAAGTGTACTTTTAGTTTGGTACAATCAGTATCCTTGAGTTGTTGAAAATTGACTGTTTGACGTCAAGAAACAGTTAGTATATGTATCAGAAGTCTGGTTTTCAAAACTCCTTCTTGTGATGAGTCAAGAGAAGCTTTCGCAAGAAATTGAGGATTGACCATACATGTTATTGCTGCAAATATGTTGTCTGGTAGGGCATGCTCACCCTAATGTATTAACTGATAATAAAGAAACTGATCAAGTTAATTTGTCATCTTCTGCTGCATTCCCCTTTTGTTGGCAGACTTCAGCTGTCTTCACGACACATAAATAACATTTTGTGTCAGAAGTTTTCATTGTCCAGTGTAACGTTTTTAGAAAATTATTCTATTATACTTGAGAATGTAATTCAAGACTGCTGTGAATTAATTCTGCATTCTTTTGAAGCTATTCTGCATCTTTTTGGGCTAAAGGTCTGAGAAATCAAAGAATTTAAACATTTAAATAAAATAAAAAAAGAATTCACCCTTTTCAGTGTAAACTCATAACATGTCTCAAGTAAGATTATGACAGTGTTATCAGGCATATTTTTCGGGATCAGTGCCTAGTATTACAAAACAATGTGAGCTAATGCTTTCACAAAGATGACTTCAATTTGAGTACTGAATGGCGTTTCTTTGCTTTGCCTAATCTTACAAAAAGGAACCTTGCGAAGGAATAGGGAACAACTATAATATTCTCAATAAAAGCTTTCCCTCAATCCTGGCAGGAACCTATGAATTTATCCAGGAAGATACTTAAGTGAGCTGATGATAATGAGGAGAACATATTTTTAACAATATTGAACAATACTTAGTAATACTTCTATTGTGACAGAGATATAATAAAAAAAGTGAAAGGTACAAAGAAAATGAGTAGTTTCATTTCATTAAAAATGAAATAAATTAATGGTATTCCCTCTGAAGTGAAATAAAAGAAATATCAATGTAAGTATAATGATGATAATCATCTACTGCTGATTGGTACTTATTTGAAAGCTGACTTGAAGATGCTGCAGCAATACAGCAAGTAGACATTTCTATTATATTTAATTTCTCAGAATCATTTCAGTGCCCCATTTTGAAGCTCAACAGACTTATGTAGAACGATTCAGAGATTACAATGATATTTTTTTTCAAATTTTTAAACTATACAGTTTCATGAGAAATTCAAAAAATAAAAATAAAACAGGTCAAAAAATGCATTTTAAAAAAATTAATGAATTCATTACATATATCAAATGAAAGAGCATCTTTGTTCTTTAATATCGCAAAATATTAAATTTCTGTCACAATTACAGCATGAGTTAAAAATGATTAACCAAGCAGTGCAGCATTTTTTTGAAAATTAATATTGTCTCAAAAAATAATATTTGGAAAAAATGAAAAACATGTGTTTCAAATTTTTGCTATTATGCTTAACAGGGAAAATAGTTTCAAAATCTGGGACATCAAGGTCAAAATTTCCTTACATTTGTTCAATTTCAAATGGAATGTCTTCATATTTGCAATGAATATAGACAAAATTGAATATATTCAATTTTGTCTCAACAATACACCAATGGCATTGTATGAACATTACTTTACCAAAATATGAAAATCTTTTGATTTACAATCATTGCAAGCAAGGAGAATTTTTGCAGATGTGCTATTCCTCCATTATATTATTTCTGACTATTGAATGTATATGATTTCTAAAATTTCACTTGATCTTTCCTCCTGAATCACTAGACACTACATACCTTGTCTTATTTGTAGTTCAAAACCAAGCTATATTTGTTACACCACATTTGCTAGATTATGTAAACTCACAGTATTAAGTGTTTATGAAGGAATGCAAAGCTGACCACTCATTTCGATCTAGGAAAAGGTCTAGGAATGTTTCCAAAAATATTGTGGTTATCACTTGAATATTTACTGGGCTAATGACCTCTGATTCGTATTAACTGATTTTTTCTTTTTCGTTAGGTACGTCGAAGAAATTATCAAGAGATTAATGTTAGTCATGGTGTTTGGCAAAGGCCTCATCAAGACATGCCAGGCATCAGAGAACATCGAGAAGAAACAGTGGAAACTTCTCGTTTTGCTGAACGAACTCCTCTACTGGACGCATCCATGCGCCCTCACAAACCATCCTAGCAGCACTGTTCTCAGATACATTGTACATTTTGAGGTTTGCTAAGTGTGACTCGTATAGTGTAGTGATATATTTGATTTTGTATGTGTTGTTTTTACTTACGAAGATTTTTAGTGTGACATCGTCAAACGATACTGTGAAATGTGACGCTGATAATTGTGATCAAGTATTTTCAAAGGTTATGACTTTAGAGCTTGCTACTTCTACATCTGACCAACTCATATTGCACCAATTTAACATTTTAAGCATTCTTCATGAATTAGTAATTTAATAAAAACTGCCGTTAAATAGCCGTTTTTTGTAATCCAATGTTGAGTAACTCATTGGTATTGTTTTGCAAATTGTGATAATGAAGAAATATCTATATGTTATTACTGTTTTCTTATTTTGAGTTTATTAAATTATTTCAAACCTTCATTCCCAACATTGCCGTATATGAAGTGGAATTTAACCGTAATGAATTTAAATAAATTCAAGTCATAGTGGGTGTTGGTAAATGTATGGACTCAACTACATTGCTGGAAGAATTCGTAAGAGTTCAATTGAAATTAACTGGAGATGAAATTTGAAGCAGAACAAATGTTTCATTCTTACTTTCATTCAATTCTCTCTCTTTTTCTCTCTCCCCCTCCCCCCCTCTCTCCTCTTTTTCTCTCGTTCTCTCCTCTTTCTCTCTCATTCTCTCCTCTTTTTCTCTCGTTCTCTCCTTTTTTTCTCTCGTTCTCTCCTTTTTTCTCTCGTTCTCTCTTTTTCTCGTGTTCTCTCTTTTTTTCTCGTTCTTTCCCTTTTCTCTCACTTTCGTTCTTTCTCTTTCTGTCTCTTGTTCTTTCTCTTTGTCTTTCTTTCTCTTTCTTTTCCTGTGGTAATGTAGTGCTCGTGTGTCTGTGGGGACAATGTTAAGGAAAGAGAGATTGGGCACATTCTATGACTGTTTGTTAAGGTACTGCTGTGCAAAGTATCTACTAGAGAAACCACACAAACTTCCAAAGAGAAGCCAACCAATAGAATTCTCATCCAGACAATGTCTGCATTGGACGTAACTATTTAGCTAGTGACACTAGTGTTAGTAATTGTTATAAATTACATATTTAGAGTCCTTTTTGGGAAAAATATTTTTAAATTGCTTTTATTTTGCATATGCACAAAACTGTAAAAACTACTAAAATTTGCACAATTCAATGAAAGTTGAACCTGCATCATTCTTATAAGAGTTATTAGCTCTAAACTGAAAATAATGTGAAAAAAAAATTGGACCAATTTTGTGAAAATGTTTAAGTTGTTGAGGCTTCAAGGAAAGTCCTCCCCCATGAAAATGTCAATTTCAAATTCAGCAAGCCTTGTTTTGCAGCATAAAATATTTGGAACTTTCAGTATCGAATAATATAATTTAATTTATAAGAGGAAACTGGCAGTTGCCGATACAATGCTGGTACGCATAAGATATGAAAAAAATTGACAGAGCATGTATTGCATTCATATCTTCATCAGACTAGAAATCGCAAATCAGACATAGAATTCAGAAAATCAGGACAATATGATACTCTTCAATTTGTTAATGGCCACATTTCTTTAGGATGTATACAACTCGACTTAGGTTTCATTAAACATTCTACTCATTCTCAACAGGGGCGTGAAAAAACGGCGAATTTTCGGCAAAAAACACATATTACAGGGTCCTGGAAACGAAAAAGTAGATATATCCAATTGCTATATTTAGAAAGAAAATCTTGAAACGCGTGGTGCAGCCAGAATCCCTGTTTTGTGGGTCCTTGATACTGAGAAACCGATTGATGGCAAAATGTGTGTCCGTCTGTGAAAACCCCCGCTAGCGGCTAAATCGTTCAGCCGATTTTCTCCAAAATTGTTATTCCCCCATTGTTCTCTCTAATGTCGCAGCCCGTGCATATTGAAATGAATGTTTAAATTCTGAAGGGTACTTTACATGAAACCCCTGGGACATTTTCAAAATTTTCAAAAAAATTGCTCCAAATTTTTGTATTAAATTTTGTTAAATAGTGCAAAGGACGTTTAAGAGAATGGTGCACGTCTCAGTTTTGTTGACATTCCTTGTTATGCAAATTGGGGGAAAAATTTAAAACCTCAAAATTGGAGATGGAGATTTTTGTCTCAGACAAAATTGGTTGTTCAAAATTAGCTCACCAAAAAAGTTCATGAGCAACTTTTGAAAACTGGAGTAGTTTTTATTTTTTCAAAGAATATTCCCAAAAACTGCTCCAATTTTTTTCTTTACATTTTCTTCACTTGCGTAATAGGCGATAAAAATATGGTGCTAGTCTCATTTTCAGGCTCTTTTTTTTTAATTTAAAAAATAAAACATTTTACAACTACAAAATTGAAGATACAGATTTTTGACTCAGACAAATGTCGCATTGTCCTGCTGGTCCGTCGGGTTGCACTATAGACATGAATGGGTGCAGGTGATCAGACAGGATGCTTACGTTCGTGTCACCTGTAGTCTTATGTAGACCTATCAGGGGTCCCATATCATCACAGAGCCTCTAGCAGCTTGAACAGTTCGCTGTTGACTTGTAGGGCCTATTGATTCATGAGGTCGCCATTCTCGTACACGTCCACCTGCTCGAAACAAGTGAAAGTTGTAGAAGTGTCGTTTGGTTATCAAGGGTACAACAGTGGGCCTTCGGCTCCGAAACCCCAGATCGATAATGACGCGCTGAATCGTTCGCAAGCTGACACTAATTGATGGCCTAGCATTGAAACATGCAGCAATTTGCGGAAGGGTAGCACTTCTGGCACGTGTAATGATTCTCCTCAGTCGTCGGTCCCGTTCTTGTACGATATTTTCGCGGCCGCAGCAATGCCGGATGTTTGATGTTCTACACAATTCTCTATATTCACCGTACATTCGTGAAATGGTAGTACGGGAAAATCCAAATTTCATCGCGAGATGCTATGCCCCATCTCTCTCGCGTCGACTATAACACTAGCTTAAATCGTGTTAACCTGCCATTGTAGCATCGATACAATACCGGCGTAACTGTGCCAAACTCGGAGCGTCGTGTTCTGATTGGTTCCAGATCTCTTCATTTCAATACGCATGGCCGTTTTGGGGCTCTTTAGTGAACAATAATGTATACAAAGTGCCGCTAATGTTAATATTAACGACGTGAGAGAAGTCAAAAAAATATCATTTTGTAATTTTTGGAAAAAACACACACACAATGGAGGAATATGGCGTTTATGTTATTTATAGATTGCATTTAGTACTATGCCTACCAAAAGTTTAAAGAAAAAAATTAGGGCGTTTTTGTTACTTTTTAACATTGCATATATTGCACGTAACATTGCGCGAAAACTACAGACAATTTTAAAAAAAAATGTGTACAGACTTTATTGAAAGAACTATTTATGAACAACAAATTTCATTGAAAATAAACATATCTTTCTTCAATTTTGAATTTGTAAAACGTCGAATAAATTCGAACTTTTGAAATTTTCGACAATTTTAAGTTAACCTTAAAAATCGGATCTATGCCATGTTTATAATTGTGACACTACTCTATGGTTACAAGAAATGTAAAGAAAAAATTGATGCAGATTTTAGAACATTTTGAAAATGTTCCAGGTTCTTCATGTAAAGTACCCCCAAATTTTAAAGAATATTTTTCAAAATCTCAACGCTTCGACTCGAGCCAGATCGTCAGGGGTTTCTTCAATCTGGAAAATAAAAATCCTACGTATGGTTTAGCCGCTAGAGGTGTCCACAGACGGACGTTTCGGAGTCAATTTATTTTCGGTATCAAGGACCTCATGTTACAGGATTTTTTCTTTAATTTAGCAACTGAATTTATCAATTTTTTCGTTAACAGAACTCAGCAATGAATTTTTTCTGCGAAAATCCGCCGTTTTTTCGCGCACCATTACATCACTTTCTCTGTACCTCTTATATTACTCCGTATATACGTACGTATATGAGAAAGTAAAAAGATAGTCTGTATTCCAATTGAACCTTCAAATTTATTTATATCTAATTGTTTTATTTCGTCGAATATGTTTGATTGGTTTCTACACTGGCGTTTGTAAAAATTGCTACACCCAGAAGGAATGGTCGAAATTACTTAAAAATCTGTGGATGTATCAATGTATCCGTAAGAAATTTTAATTAGATTTGCTTAGATATGGCATGCACATTGGCCTAGCAGCTTCCTCCTTTGTGTTAGGTCAAGTCAGTGTCACGATGTAGACACGTCAAAAGACATTAAAACGCGCAAGCAAGTGCCGGCACACCTTGTCGCCAAAGGGCGCAATATCACCTGAGTGAGTTCGAACGAGGCAGAATGATCGGTCTCCGGGAAGCGGGTTTTGTCGTACCCTGACATTGCGGCTCGAACGGAGCGCTCTGCTACGCCATGCGTGTGTAGAACCATTGGTTAGAGAACGACACAACGACGAGCACATACTGGACCACACAATGCGACCACTGCACGAGATGACCGCATCTTGTTCGCATGGCCTAACCGACAGAACGGATTCGTCCACAGTTGGCTCGACTGCATCGGGTATGGTCATGTCTGCGTCGAAGTTTCGACGTCGTCTGCTGAGGGCTGGACTGGTGGCAAGCAAACCACTGCGTCGGATTTCGTTGACCAGAAGCCGCCAACCCCTCAGATAGCAATGGGCACGTGAACGTGTTCACTGGTGTGCTGACTGGGAAAAAGTAGTGTTATCGGACGAGTCCCGCTTCAATTTGTGCTATAGCGATGGTCGCGTACATGTTCGATGCTACCGTGCTGATCGCAACCTGCCAGCCTGCTTTGTTCCGCGCCATAGCGGACAAACGCCAAGTGAGATGGTTTGCGGCAATAATTATTGTCAATAATATGCGTTCTAGCCTCATACGTTTTGAGGGCAATCTGAACAGCAACCGCTACGTCAGGGAGATTTAAGAGCTCGAGGTACTGCTCGTACTGCAAGCTCCCACACGCCATATTTCAGCAGGACAATGCTTGACCGCGTGCAAGCTTTCTGCGAAGAACGACGGGTACCTCTTCTTCCCTGGCCTGAATGCTTGCCTGACATCCAGCCCATCCAACCTGTTTGTGATATGATCGGTCGGCAACCTGTCTGTTCTGGTCCTCCTGCAGCCACTGTCGATGCTTTGTAGTCACGCTTTGAAACCGAATGGCACTGTGTTCCCCAGAAACATGTCCAGGCTCTCTTTGAATATGCTACGTCTAGAGATTCTGATGACAGCGCGTGGCATCTTTACATCTCACTACAATACTCAAGGTCAGTTCTGTAGTTCTAATCATTTGTATATTGTGATATTCCGAATCTGAGGAATAAAAATTAATTGTAATAGAACATCTCCTATTTGTTGTTGCAATTTTCACATCACCAGTGAATGTATTGTTCCCAAATTTACTGTGGAGTTAAGATAATT